GGGTTTGAGTGAGAGATCTCCTCGGAAGGTACTCTAAGAAGCCTTTGTGCTTATGAAAGCTGCAATCCGACGACACGCACGCCACAGAGTAACGCCTCCAGAGAAATCCCCTCGCAACTTCAGCCACCTTCGCCTAACGAAAACTTGGAATTAGCGATCGTGTTATCCTCGTGTACAAACTCGACAGCTAATTACACATAAGCATGGAAACAAAAGGGTGGATAATTTCGTCATAGCGGAGCGCAGAAAAAATATCGAATTAGTAATAACGACTTCACGGTTTCCATCGATTCTTTCATGGAATTGCGAATCTACAATTATAAAATTCATCTAAATACCAGGAAAATTGTCACTTGATGAAAATATCCAAAAAGTGTACCGGAAATTTCAGTAAAAAAACGCACACACAAAAAAATGCAAATTTTTACTGATAAGAATGAATAGTCCGGACCGGGATTTCAACTCGGGACATTCCGACTATGCATTACAATGTGTAAATAATTTATTCAGTCTTCATTTGTATATCATTTGCAAGCTATTCTTGTCTCGGAGACAAATTCACTAGCGAAGTGGTCAAACGGTTCAAGTCAAGTTAGTCTTTAGTCGAGTTTTCCAGAAATATTTCCGAATTTAAGGGAGATAGAGAAACTTTCATAATAACCTTTTTTGTAGAGTGAATTGAGTGCTACTAAAAAGGTTATGAGAAAAATTTTGCTATCTTCCTTAGATTTCGAGATATTCATTGAAAACTGGCCATTAGGCAAAATCGACTTAAACCGTTTGACCACTTCACTACTGAATTATGAAACACTGTTATCGGGAAAAATTATCCCGATATTCTTGTCTCGTTTGAAGTAGTATGGTCACGGATCGATTTCCAAGATTAAAATATGAAATAATTTTTTTATGAAAGTTAATATCAATAAAAACCTCCTGGTACAATTTGTGGTACATTGATAGTTTAGTATGGTTGATAAGAATTAATGAAAAACTAGATTTTAACAGTCTTATGGGCAAATCACATTTTTGGGTGGTTTTTATGATAAATCGAAGATTTAGTTATGAAAAAAATACAAAAAAATGAAAAAAAAAAAAAAATTTACGACCATCGATGAAAATTATTGACCGTTTGGGACTTTAGTTATAAATAATTCCTGCTCTTCGGTGTTCGGAAATTGCGTGTCGAGTAGATGCGGCAACGACGCGTTAGTGGAGTGGGGACAAGCGGGCATTTCAAATCTCGTTTTCCCTACGCTGTTAAGTTATAGCGTTGCCACACATAAAACGACGCTAGTTAAAGGAGGTACATTATTTAACTAATAAGTGAAAAATACTAAAAATAATCGATTAATTCTTATATTCATAAATTTTATAATTCACAAGGAGAATTTTCAATTATAAATCATAGTTTTTTGATTAATTTTTTTAGAGTTTCTTGACGGACACTCAACGTTCACTTTGGAGAGTGACCATACTACTTTAACTCATTCATCACTCATAACTCACGTCCTTGCTATATTCTTCCAAACGTTTTATTCAATATTCCCGTGTTAATTATTCAGAATGCGCCTGGAATTTCGAAAATCTTGGCACGCACACCTATCATACCATGAAGCTCTCGCCAAGTCATCGGATTTTCACGAGACTGTCTAAACAACTTTGGCCCGATCCTCCTCCTTCATCCAGTGGATCCAACACCTGGGATATCTCTATCCCGTCCACAGTCAGGATGACAGGCATAGTTTTCCCACCTTGGGTTATGTCCCAACTACGCTGCGCCCACACGTCCTATCCCTCTCATCCCCATCTCCACGTGATTCTCAGCGTTCTTGTCACGTAGGATAAATACATACCCCTTCTCCCCTCAATTTCTGGCTTCCTGTACCATGAAACCGCGACACAGTTGGCAAACTCGTCGTTTCAGTTCCCACGGCATCCATACGGAATGGTCTACGTCCGTTCGGGGTTTTCGTCAAAACCATCATTGGAAACAATGTCACCTGAATACCAAGACATTATTCAAAAGCCCGGGGTGGAGTGTGACGATTCGTTTGAACGAGGGGTGTCACGATTCTCTCGATTTGGTGATCCAATCGTAAAGTTTTGGTTTGATCCATTTTTATGGGAATTTTAATGATTTTGGTGATCATTAAATGCTTGATGTACACGAAGGGATAATTTGCGAAAAATTATTCAGAAAAACATGACGAATTTTAATTTCTGGAACCCAATTGTGGAGCGAATTGTATAATTTGATGAAAAATCCGCTCAATATTATTTTTTGGGGAAATTTGCGGCATATTTTCTGGATATTGTTATGGAGTGACAGTTTCACTAGAATTACAAGGAATTTCGTCGTTGATATTTCTCAATTTGAGGAAAAATTGATGGTAATTGTAAATTTCAGTTCAGTTATTTGATGGAAAATAATAGAAGTCAGGAAAATTCAGCATATATTCAAATCATCCTGAATTTTCAATTAATTGAACATTTGAAAATATATTTAACTGAATTTGCCCAATTTTTATTCATTTTTATGGAATAATTGAACTGAAATTTGCAGTTTCCATTGATTATGCCATCAAATTTGGAATTGTCAATCACGAAATTACTTCAAATTTCCGCAACATCATTATGTGCTAAAGGTTTCCAAGCAGTGTCTCTGAAATTTCCGCCAAAAATTGTTAACTGTGGGACATAATCCTAAATTTCAAGAACTTTGTCTCCAAATTTCAATGATTTAATCTTTACAGTTGAGGGTAATTCTAGTTCGTGTCCAGACACCCAAAAAATTTGGAATTAATTTCTAAAAATTAAGAATCAATTCCTAGAAATTACTCAATTTAAGACAAAACTAATTATTTAAAAATTGGAATTTTTAAGAGTTCTTAGAAATTATTCAATTTAAAGAAAAATTAGTCATTTAAAATTGGAAACTTTCAATCACAAAATTACTTGAAATAGCAAAACTAAAAAATAATGTGAATCCACAATGAAGGTGATTTCTAGCTAGTATCAACACTCCCAACAAATTTGGAATAAATCTCAAAAAATTCAGAATCAATTCCTAGAAATTGCCGATCCACCCCAAAAAATGAAATCTTTTCTTTCTCATCATTTCTTTGTTAATCCACTCTCGTATTCTTCTTCTTCTATTCCCCCAATTCCGTGAGACTCACAACGTCTGATGAAACGCCGGTACATCCCGCCGCGGGATGATAAAATAAAAAAATGGGAGAGAGGAGAAGGGGAGGGTTAAAAATGCCTGGGGATGATCTCAGGTCCGTCTGAATATCGTTTCTACCCTCTGAGTCTATCCGAGCGTAGCCCCCGAGCCGGAATAAATGAGTAAACGTTCATAAATTAGCGCTCGATTTCCACGTTCCCTCTCCCCCTCCTCGCGCCGTCTGTTTACCTCCGAGTCTACTTCACCTCTCCCACCCCCTGCCAGCCCATACCTTCGCACTCATTCAACCTCTCTCCACCTTTTCTTATCATTTTTTTGTCCGTTATTTTCCATTCGCCTGGAGATCTCTCTATTCTTACTCTGGAGTGCACCTTTTACGGAGGTACTATAACGACTTCAACGATGTGCCAATGGTGAAAGGAGTAATGCAGTATTTTTCATGCTCAACATCAAAGGGGGTGTTTTGGATGAAGGAAATAAGAGTTGGTTTCCTTTTTTTCCTTCGTTCCTCCGTCATAATTGCCTGTTCGCTATAGACGAAAATAAATAAAGTAAAATTTATCGTGGAGTTGAGATGTTCGGGAGAGGTTGCATTATTTGGTGAGATTGGGGGGTCAGAATTAAATGAGTCGAGGGTTGAAAATGTCGTACATTGAGACAAACTGTTACTTTTGCCAAGGAATTATCTTGGTAGAACAATCTATTTTTTAGGAGGATATTTCTTCAGGCTAGGCATTCCCACGTGGTGGACAGTCATTCCCAGGTGGTCCATCTCGTAATATTACAATTATGTTAAATTATGAGATACTTATGCTACATGTGCACTTCACTAAAAAAAAATTGCTTTTGACAAGCATATTTACTAAGTGCAAGAAAATTTACTTGGCATTAACATGTCTTATGAAAATATTTATGTACATTTACTTGTGGCAAGTAAATTTACATAAATATTTCTCAGTGTTGAATGAACTCTGATGATAGAATGATAAAAAAAATAGAAAAAATCCTGAACTTTTTCAAGAAGCGTTTTTAATTGAGATTCAGAATGAGTTGAAAAAGTGGAAATTACAAATATCTGATTCGCTGTGGCAAATTATCTATTAGCTGTCATTTTCCTTGGTGGAGAACAAAACACTAACTCCTCATGGGAAATGACAGCTAGGTATCTCAATTTTCAAAACAGTGGTATGTAGCCATCGGCCATTTTCAGATGACGAAAGATGAAAAAAAACATCGAGATAACGTTCGAAAGATAGTACACCCGGGCCTTAAATAAATATTTTACTAAAGATGAAAGAAACGTGAAGTTGTTTTACATCGAAATATCTCGAAACTGCCTGACCGCTAATCTTTAATTCTGATTGGTCAGTATATGACATGAAGTTATTGACAAAAAAAAACACGCGGCATTTTCAAATTCTTTAGTGACATAATTTCAAATTCTTCAGTGGTAAATTTTTTTTTCACGTCATATATATTATATTTCACATGTATATATATATATATATATATATATATCATCGGTGAAATTAATAAATTCTGTCCTTTTATGGAGACCGATTATTTAAAAAAATTGAAGATAATTAATCGAAAATGAAAAATTCTTTATAGGTTCTTTTACTCTACTTCGCTATTCACTTCAATCATTAGTCGAATTCTCTTTGATTCATTATCAATATTTATAAGGTATTCATGAGAAAATAAAATTCAATGAATTCCATTTCTTCATTTCAACAAATGAATAGATCAGCGCGCGCATAGATCGTGTAAATAAAAATAAATGAAAATAATAAATTCTGTTTCTCGATTTCAGGTCGACCGGGTACAGATTACCCGGTCCTGGGTAGAGTGCCCTACACAAATTTCTACTGCGACGATCAAGAGTACCCCGGTTTCTTCGCCGACGTTGAGACCCGCTGTCAAGGCTGGCATTACTGTGATATTGACGGAAGACAGGCGACATTCTTATGCCCCAACGGCACACAATTCAGTCAGGCTGTATTCGTGTGCGACTGGTGGTTCAATGTCAGATGTGAATTGAGTCCAAAATTGTATGCCATCAATAGTAGACTGTATCAGCGTCCAACGGAGAGCCCAACACGACCGCATCGAGTCATCACCAAGGAGCTGCTCGAGAATATCTTCGTGAAGAGGAAATGAAGTCTCTCACTCCCTCCGGCGAATGGAAAAAAAAAATCTACCGATGCTTCTGCCAGTAGAGAGAGGTGGCGAGGGGGTTTAAGTAGTCAAGGGAATAAAGAGTTTTACTACTTGAAGAAGAAATTTAGTGGCAAAAAAACATGATGAGCTCTCCCTTATTTCTATCGAGCGAGATTTTCATTGCTGGAAGCGCCATTCAACCTCCCTGGGTTCTTAATACTTGATGAGGTCCCGGAGAGGAGTTTCAGGGATGCGAGGACGAGGGATTTCCTCCGTCGTTCTCCTCTTTTTGGTCAACGTGAGAGGTGGAGTGCTCTTATATCGGGTATGAGTTGTCATTTGTTCTCTTGTTGGGAACTCTGCGTGATTTGGCCCATGTTGGATGGGGGAATTGATTGGGATTTAGGTGGAGTGGGGAATATTTTTAAGATTCTAGGGGGTAAGATTAGGGTTCAGGAAGGTCGTGCGATACAGATTGGGGGGTTTTTGGGGAAAATTTCGCCAGTGGGAGGAAAGTTTTGAGATTTTTCACGTAATTGGGGATTTTTGGGGGATTATCGAGTGATCTTGAAATTGTTTCAACGCGAAAAATCCTCCTGTGCACGGGAATAAAGACGTTGCTGAGTTGTGTAGATTAATTTTTCTCTTTTACAAATGTTCGGGAAACGAAGAACAAGAAAAAAGAAGTAAAAGCAAACCAGAAATGAAAACAGTTGCCGACAGATTCTATTAACGATGGGCGAGTATAAAAAAAAAATCAACGGTAAAAAAAGAGTGCGGAGAGGGTGGGGGAGTGAATCACAGAGGTTGGCAACAGCGAATTGATATAGCCCTCGAGCAGATAATCCAAAACTAATTCAATCGTCCGGAATACCTGGAAAATTTAATTCCGAGCCGTCTAACTTTTATCAAGTTCCTGACGTGGCCCCTGGCGTGCCTCAGCGAGTATGGATGTGCCCCCGCATGGGGGAGAGTAGTGCACCCCACTTCTCGCGTACAAAAACTAGAGAGAGAAAGAGAGGGTGGAGAGAAAAAAAAATATCTGGTGAATACAACGGAACGGAGGCTCCATGCCAGTTGCAATTTCAAATTTAAATTGAGAAGAATTCAAAGTTCAAGCCATTTCATCTGGAAAATAATTTCTCAGGGGTATTTTGTCTTCCAGTGAATTATTGTCAATTTTCATCTTGAATTGTTTTAATTATAGAAAGAAAATGAATCAAAGTGCTGCAGTGGTATATTTTTTTAATGTAAAACAGATTGTCTTGCATTTAATGGTTGAAAACTGAATTAAAAAATTTGATGGAAGGATGTTTGTTTTGATCATTCGAAAAGAAGTGGAAGTATTTGTTTTTGTATTTGTTTTGTTGCTCTATGAATTCGATGAAGCAAATAAATTAATGAAAAATAATTTAAAACCTCAAGGTAAATCAATTTTAATTAATTCAAATAAACCATTTTTCTCGTTTATAAAGAACTTTTATAAAACAACATGAGAAAAAATTAGTTCTGCCAAAAAATTATAGGGGAGGATGGGGCAAAACGGCCCCCCCTCAATCGTCAATATTTTCCGATTCAATAATCCGATTGGGATGAGTTAGAGCTCGTTTTGAAGAATGAAAAATTATCTTCAAATTGAAGTTGAAACTGGGAATTTTCACAATGTCATTCACATGTTATTGACAATTGAAGGGGGGCCGTTTTGCCCCACCCTCCCATATGTTCTCCTGAGGAGATGTTTTGTCGTGCTGAATCAATTTAGTTGTAGACAACAAAGAACAATTCTATCAAAACATGATAATTCTCGTAGGAGTAATTGTTCTCGTGAGACATTTATATTTCTTTTGGGTACACCGGGAGAAATTCTCTAGAAAAATTTTAGGTCTAGCACGGAAAAGCGAGCGTAAAGTGACGGCCAGGGAAAGATTCCAGTGCTGGCACAGGAAATTCTAATGAGTAGCACGTGAATTTTTTCCGTTTTTGGATGAAATTTTTACAGAAATCCCCAGTAATTTTATCTTAACAGTACTAAAATTTTTCATAGCCAGTGTATTACGATTTTTTTTTAGTACCAGCACTAGAATTTTTCAAATATTCTCACGTGGAACACATAGTTTTTCAGCGGAGCAAATTTTTTCTCTCAGTATAAATCAAAATCAAATGACTCATCAAATTACCGAAATAAATCATCATCCCCCCCGGAAAATAAAATCCCCCATAAAAACTAAACATAAACCCCCAGCATTTCGATAACTTTTTTTATGCCCTCATTTATCGAAGTCTCAGGTGGCACAAGAGATATCTCAACATAGAAGTTTGAACGAGCCCTCGAATCACCTTTATATATACGTAATGTCCGCAAAGCCAACTCCCGCCGTTTATCCAAAATGCCCATAAACCGCACGACCCCTCCTCCTTCTCCTCCGCGCCCTCGCCGCACCGTCCCAGCCAAAACCCCTTTAGAAAAGCGTCACCAGAACAAAAATAAAAACCAAACAATTTTTATTCTCCCCTCCCCTCCCCCCTCGAGATAAAGAACGTACGTACGTGCAACCGGATGGAATCCATCAGAGAAGAAGGTAATCAGTTGAATCTGCAGCGGAAAAAGGCACCAGAAAGTCCCACTCTCTGTGCTGCATGTGCCTCAACCACTTTCCTAAATCCAATCTCCCCAACTATTCCACCTCTCCCTCCCCCTCCGGCTCTCCCCCTCTCCCTCTTCGCACCCCTTCAATACAGGTGAACCAGTCGACAACTGACGTTGGCCAAAACCCCACCTTTTCAATCTCTCTCCTCATTTTTCCAGCCCCAGAAAAATGTATATATTTTTTCCGATAAAGTTGAAATTCTCACATTTAAAAGTCACCCCGTCTGACTTGTCAAGTACCTGCACTACTTCAGACTTTGTGCGAGAGAAAAAAATACTGAGAAAACGCGCATCAGTACCGACTTGAAAAGAAATATTGCACCCTGTGATATTATCGATAACTTTTTCTCTCGGGTTTTGTTATGAAAAAAAAAAGTGAGGGAATATGAGAGTGGGAGAGAGAGGGAAAAGGTGATATAACTTTATCGTTTAATCGCAACGGCGACGAATGTCACTGGAGCCTGGTCCAGACGTCAATTGGGTTGGATAGGGAGGCAGGGGATAGGGGATTTGGGGAGAGTGTCAAGAGTAGTTTTTTTTCAAGTCTAAAGTGGCCATTTACTCCCAAAACTCGTCTAATAAAATTAGAATTTAATCCATTTGGAAGGGTATTACTAATTCATTAAGAAATGTAACATTATTTTTTGCTAGGGGACTATAGTAATCAAGTAATAAGTAATCAAGGACTACACTCGGCACGCTGGCAATTTACTGTTGAACAGAGTAATAATTGCGAGTCGGTATAGTAGAAAGTGGTACAATAAAAATAAAAATTAATTTGGTACGAGTAAAAAAGGGGTTTCGGTATGCTCCTCGATTACTATGTTTGCATTGCAATTTTTCATTTTATATTCCCTCCGTGTGGCTCCTCACTTATGAACAATTTGGTAATTTTTAACGCATTTTAATTCCACTGAAATCGTAAGGAATTTCGTCACTGAAAATTCAGAATTTCAGGGAAAAATTGATAAGAATTGTGAATTTCTGTTCAACTATTCCCTGAAATTGAGTAGAAATTAGGAAAACTCTGATGAATTTATTGGAAAATTATGAATTAATTGAAAATGCATCGTAATTCGACACCGAAAATTGAAACACTGAGAGAGAAATCTGAAGTTCGATTTACAATAAGAAAACAGTTGAGGCAGTTTTGGTGAACGATACGATCTTTTTTTGTATGCGACACATAACATTATAGTACCTTCACAAGCGTAATTTGTGCAAATCAAAATACAGTTAAACTAACCAAAGTTCAAAAGTAACCACGACAAATCTGTCGTGAGTAGAACTATAAAATAGTTGCAATGACTACATTCCACTGTAGTAATCACTTTTCCGGCCATAGTTACCGTAACCCATGCAAAATTGTTGAGGACTTTTTGACTATAGTTCGATGGTGATGGAATATAGTCAGAAGAATCATATTTTTCTCTCAGTGAATAACTTGAGAAATTATATTCATTGAATTTCCAGTGAAAACTAAAATTCCGTGATTTTAGCTCCTTAAATCGCGTTCAATGGCGCTCTCCCAAAAATTCCTAGTCAATTGTCAATGAAATTTCAATTTGTTTCTAACAATGTATTCTCGAAAAAATAAAAAATATTCTCCAAAATAGACTGGAAGAGAGGATTTCGGGAAAGTGTTTCAGAGTAGTTTTTTTTTCAAGTCTAATGTCCATTTCTCCCAAATCTCCCCTATTAAAATCAGACTTTAATCCATTCAGAAGCATATTACTAATTCATGAATCTACTCACTTATAAACAAAATGGAAATTTTAATCATATTTGAGTTCCACTGAAATTTCAAGTAATTACGTTATTGAAAATTCAGAATTTCAAGGAAAAATCAATGAGAACTGTGAGTTTCAGTTCAATTATTTCCTGAAAATCAGCAAGTCAGGAAAACTTCGGTAAAAATATTCGTGAATTTCCAATTAATTGAAAATTCATTGTAATTCGGCACTGAATACTCATGATTTCACCAAAAACTCAAATAGTTTGAGGAATTCAATGCTATTCCAAAATTTGTAATTTCATAGAATATTCAGTAGTAATACTACAAGTGCTTCAAAATTATCGGATATTTTCCGATAGCTTCGTTGCCTAGGAACAATTGTGTCAAATTTTGCAGGTTTAAAATTTCTGCAAAATTTGACAGTCGTTACTAGACAGGGAAGCTTGAGGAAAATATCCGATTAATTTTGAAGCACGAGTGGTATTTGACGGATTATTTTTCCACTCGGATTTCGGCCAAGCAGAGTGTAGTGAACAGCATCCGGATACATTTACACAGCCATACATTTACAACCCACTTTTTTGTTTATCTCTCCCACGGAATATCAAACCTGAAATGCGTTGATAGATGAGAAACATTTGAAAAGCGACTAGTGAATTTCCGTCGGAATTTTTTTAGAAATTTCGGAAATAAAACTGTTTGACAGCCTCAAATACTGCGCTCTGATTGGCTGAAATCTGAGTGAGAAAAATAATCAGTGAAATCTGAAATTTTCCGATTTTGCCCCCTCAAATCGTCTTCAATGTCTCTCTCCCAAAAATTCCTCCTCAACAAAATTTCCATTTCGCCGTCTCCCCCCGAAATTTCAATTTTTTCACCAGTGTATTTTCGAAACAATGAAAAATATTCTCGAAAACAGACTGGAAGAGAGGGAAAAGGTGATATAACTTTATCGTTTAATCGCAACGGCGACGAATGTCACTGGAGCCTGGTCCAGACGTCAAATGGGGTTGGATAGTGGTGCAGCTGGGAGCGGGAGGGTAGAAAGGGGGGGGGGCTTTGGTATGAGGTTTAAAACCCTCTGGAAATAAAGCCAAGTGACAAAGAAGGATATACGACAGGCTCATATTACGGCCCGACGCGTTTAATTACCACGTCCTTTAAGGGCCCCCCCTCCCCCCCGCCGCACAACACACCGAATTGAGCCGTAAAACCCCGGTACCGGAGCTGCACTGTGCCCCGTTTACGAGCGTTGCAAAGTTTTGGCTCTGCCATTCCGACCCCCCTCTCTCTCTCTCGCCGCACATCACCGGCAAAACCGGGCTCAGACCCTCTCTCGTCACTGGTTATGCTTCCTCGTCAGGTTCGCTCTTGGCTCCCTGGGGTTACTTATGAACGGGGGGCGGGGCAGGAGGGAATGGAGGATGAACGAGGGGGTTGCGGTACTGTTTTATCGGTTCTCGGGCATATAGAGTTGGAAAGTAATCTTCTTTAGTTGAGGTGAAAACCGGTAGACGCCGACTCTGCGGCGAGCGGAGATCGGTAACGAGTGGCGGGAAGGGGAAGGGGGATCTTCAATGGGGAATATGAATTTGGGGGAGGGGAGGGATTGAGGTCAGGGGAGGGGAGGGAATTTTTATATTTCGGGGAGACGAATGGTGCGGAGTTTTTGGGGAGATGTTGGAGGTTTAATTTGCATGTGGAGATAAAGCTGGGGAAAAATTATTGAAGAACTCGGGGGATTGCGGAGGGAAATTCTGGTCTGGGTGTTTTTACTATGACGGTGATACTGTGTGCGTTTTTTATTTTGGATTAAGGGAAGAAATGTGGAAGAGACGGAGCTTTCTCCGCTTGCTGAAATAGGTCATTTCATTCGTGATTATTATTTTCACTTTATAAAAAGTATTCATAGTATTTTATTTTTATA